CTTATCAAATAACTTTGAGCCTCGTCAGGAAAAAAAGAATGGAGGCTTTTATCTTTCTGCCCCGAGAGGCGGAAACAAATGGTGGACTGAGGGATTTTTTTTTTTCGTCACTGGACGGTTTTCCTCGTTGCGACGCGACTCGCATCAAATCAGACCGTCATTTAAAAAAATTAAATGTGGCATATACTTTAAGTTCGGATCTACTTGGCCTAACAACACAATTTAAAAACTGGTTTAAAGTTCAAAGTCTCTACTTTTCACTCGAGTGTCTCAGAGAAGGCGGATCTTTACAGGTAGAGTTTTTTTCCCCCAAACTTTGTTTAGGTCAGCCAGCATTGACAATGCTCTGCGTGTGATGTAAACAGCTCGGCGACATGGCAAGGGACACATAAATCGCGGGACACAATGAATCGATAATGAAGTTTGTTGCCAACGCTTTTAATAATCTCTTTTCATCAATTCGTTGTTGCAGCCCTAAATTAAAATGACTTTTAATAATCAATTAATTGGATAGAAGCCATGAAAAAATCTTTTATTTTGTTTACTAAAAWTTTTTTAAGGGGGGCGTTATGCAAAATCGACTTTTTTGCACTTTATATCATGTTAAAATGTCAATTCCTCATAAACACGTACCTAGAGTGTTGCTTTTACTCATTCATACATGTTTGAAAAATCCTTRAATCTCCTGTGGTAGTCATGTGGAGCTGCCTAAACACTTGCCTAAATACAAAGCACTGCCTTTTTGTACATAGCTCCTGCCTGGACCTCAGTCTGCAGCTGAGCTCCCGCCCCACAGAGCACTCCTCCAACGAAGCATTGTTGTGATGACGTGCTGAAGTGGGAGTGTCGGAAATGGTAGGAGGTTCTTACAGTGACAGGGACCAATTTCAAGGTGTTTAGATTGACTGATGCAAAGTGAAATTTAATTTTGATATATATACAGCAGTTTCATAATAACTGAAGGTAACATATTTTGATTGTAGAATTGAACTATGTGCCTGGAAAATACTTTAAACCCCCCCCACCACCACCACCACCACCACAACCTTTAAGATATAAAAAAAATAACAAAAACAAATACTGTAAAAAGTTACAGTATTTGTTTTGCTTTTTTGTTCAAATATGAAACTTCCCTGTTTTTAATCTTTGATTTAGCACTCATTCCAGTGAATATTTGGATTTGTGTGTCATAGGATTTTTTGAACCTGTAGACTGGATAAGAAATGTATCTGTCTTTACACTTTTTGTTCTGACTTTGCCTTTAATGGTTGCTTTTGTCAGGACTGGATCTATCGTCAGCTCTGTGAAACAACAACACCCATCCACACCCAGCTGATTCCTCTAGTCGATGCCTACATCAWCTCGATCCTCACTCCAGCATCTAAGGCCAACCCCGAGGCCACCAATCAGCCAATCACTGAGCAGGAGATCCTTAATGTCTTCCAGAACTCTGCAGGAGTGAGTCATTCTTGAGATATCTATGGAATGGCAAAACTCTAGATCTGCATCCTAAAATGTTAACAGGTTCATGCACCACARTCTATGTTCTTTAGTGGAGCTGGTAACATGACCTATAACTAATTAGGACTGGGCGATATGGCTTAAAAATGTATCACAATATAACTGTTTCATATCAGTCAATATCGATATTAATTTATGTATTTATTTTTTTGTTGTTTGTTTGTTTTAACTATTTGAAATAAGGACAAGGAGAAAAAAGGATTAACACTGCCAAACAGTTGACATGACTTTTCACAATTTCCCCTTGAGTTGTTGAACTTATTTTTTCCTTTGTTCTTTTTTATTTTGAAGCAGTTATGATGCACAGTGGTGAAACATGAAACTGATACTGCTCAACATGTTGTTGCTAGCTGACCATAGAGTGAGTGGGTTAGTTGATGCCACCAAMCCTGCTTAGCTGGGCCGTGAGAGGTAGAGCAGCTAAAGCCTGTCCTCTGCCTACTTCCCCTAGAATGCTGTGCAGTTCTGGATCAGAGTTCAGTGAAATGATCAACTTTCTGTTTGACGAATATTCCATTGATATAATGTCTATTGTGTTATATAATTTTATTGAATTATTGCCCAGCCCTATTGCAATTATTTTAAAGTCCAAGTAAACTTACTAAACAAAATCTGTAACATAAGTAGTGAACTGCAAATGAGACAAATTTATTTATCTCTGAAGTTGTTTTGTAATAAGGGGTAATAAATGAATAGTTTAAAAACACTCATCTTCACACATTTAATCATGGCAGAGCTCTGTTCCACAGGCAACCCCTCTCCTATAACTGTCACTTATGTTTCCCTCCGTCGGTCAGCAAGGGGAAAGTAGTCGAGCAGGACGCCAGTGCTACTCCATCACCACACAGCTGCTTATCCTTTACTACATCCTGTCTTATGAGGAGAACCTGCTGGCAAGCACCAAACAGCTTGGTAAGACGATACTTATAAAAAGTGTGCCTGCCATCCTATTTTGATGTTTACTCACTTCCTTTCCATTTCCTTTTTTCTCTTTCTTTGCCTGCCTGAAGTGTTCATTGTCGTTTCTTTCACTAAAAAATGTTTTGTTAGTCAGAGGGAATCTGTCAGGCAGCATGAAGAGGAAGGAAGCTTTTGTCCTCTGTAAAGTTGCAGGAGATGTTTTGACTGTAGATGAGAAGTCATTCATTCTTTTCTTTCTTGGCTCTGAATGTTGGCTGCTTCATAAATAATMAATGGGAGCTGACAAAGAGCCAAACCCAGCGGCAGCAGGAGCACAACTTAACTAGGACACACATAGGTTAGACTGAAGCCTCATTCATAAGACTGCTCAGTCCAGGACTTTTCCGTGTTCTGTCCTCCTCCGAGCATTCAGAAAAAACACGGAGGCGGAAGGGCGAGTAAAATGAGCCCGCCTCCGATGTGCCCCTGAGCCACGAGCAGAGGTAGTATCAGAGCCAGGACCCACTTGTGAAAAAGCAACCTACGGATCCGAGCTCAGAATAATGAGCTGATGACATCAGTGAGCAACCCCAGGATCTAACCAACAGATTTATTACCAAGGGAATATTAAAAATGACACAAAACAGCAACTTTATAGTTAGTTTTAAACATAATGAGCCACAGGTATAGTGAGCTGATTTATTTATATACAGTATGTGTGTGTGTATATATATA